CAGTGGCGTGATCTCGGCTCACTGTAAGCTCCGCCTCCCGGGTTCACGCCATTCTCCTGCCTCAGCCTCCCCAGTAGCTGGGACTACAGGCACCCGCCACCACGCCCGGCTAATTTTTTTTGTATTTTTAGTAGAGACGAGGTTTCACCGTGTTAGCCAGGATGGTCTCAATCTCCTGACCTCGTGATCCGCCCACCTCGGCCTCCCAAAGTGCTGGGATTACAGGCGTGAGCCACCAGTCCCAGTGACAAGCAACATTTTGACTTTAAATCCTAGATATACGTGATGGTGTGTATGTGTTTTTGCAGGGGGGTGGGGTGGTCCAGGCATGCTGTGGGGGAACATGGGGGACCCATGCTAGAGGGACCAGCCTGCCCTCCTCCCATCCTTCCTGCTTCCAAATTTGTAATAAGCTACTACCAAGTGTGTGTCCCCCTTCCAGCCCTGCATTTCCTGTGTCCACATTCCCCCTGACCACCCACGGCCACTGCCTCTCAGCCTCCATCCACTGTCTGCCTGCTACTTGAGCCTGGAAAAGGTCCGTCATTCCCATGCTACACAGAAGTCAGCTCCCCCATCTAAGGGGTGGGGCTGTGGATATCAGAGCCCAGTGTCTCACAACTCTTCTTCTTGTCTCTCTGCAATCTTTCTGGAGAACTGGGTAGCGTACAGTAGGGTACACTTTCTGCTGCGTGGGGGGCGGGGGCTCTGGTAAGGTGGTCTCAAATCTCTCTTCAGCCACTTTAGGCGCCAACTTGGTCCCGATCACCCTTCTGCTTGGACTATTGCAGTATCCTCCTACCCGCCAGAGCTTCCTTGAGATCAGAGACTGCTACTCTCATTAGACCTCAAAAACCTGCAATGGGCCAGGCAGAGTGGCTCATGCCACCTGTAATCCCAACACTTTGAGAGGACGAGGCAGGTAGATCACGAGGTCAGGAGTTCGAGACCAGCCTGGCGAACATGGTGAAGCAGTCTCTACTAAAAATACAAAAATTAGCTGGGCGTGGTGGCAGGGCACCTGTAATCCCCGCTACTCGGGAGGCTGAGGCAGAATCACTTGAACCCAGGTAGCAGAGGTTGCAGTGAGCCAAGATTGTGCCACTGCACTCCAGCCTAGGCGACAATGAGACTCCGTGTAAAAAAACAACAAACCCCAAAAAACCCTTCAACAGCTTCTCATGCCACTTAAGAGGACAATCCAGACTCCTCCCAGCAGCCTATGGGGTCCTGCGTCATTGGCTCCCTTCCTGCTCTCCAGCCTCAACCCAAGGTCACTCTCTTCCCTTCCCTCCTCTACTTCCCTTAGCACAGGCTGTTCCATTTGCATGGAATACCCTTCCCACCCCTTTCGTGGTTAACTCCAACCTGCACATCCTTCAGGTCTCAGCCAGGCCTCCCCTCCTCCAGGAAGCCTCCTCAATCTCTCTTGTTGGGTCAGGGCCCCTGGTTACAGGGTCATGCACTTCTGTATGTGTCTCCTGCATGGCGCCCCTTGGTCACCTCAGATGCTTACACTTGCTGGTGTGATTATTTAACATCTATGGTCAGATCTGTAATCCCAGCACTGTGGGAGGCCAAGGCAGGAGAACCACTTGAGGTCAGGAGTTCAAGACCAGTCTGCAAACATAGTGAGACCCCCATCTCTACAAAAATACAAAAATTAGCTAGGTATGGTGGCACATGCCCATAATCCCAGCTACTTGGGAGGCTGAGGTGGGAGGATCACTTGAGCCTGGGAGGTGGAGGCTGCAGTGAGCCATGATCGCGCCACTGCACTACAGCCTAGGCGACATCGAGACTCTGTCTTAAAAAAACAAAACAAACAAACAAACAAAAACCAAAAAAAACTCAGAAACCATTTGTCACCACCAAATGCTGAGCCCTGCGAAGGCAGCACCTGTGCTGTATTTGTTCAGCAATGAATCCCCAGCGCACCGCACACAGCAAGGATTGCTCACATTTAAAAATGAGGGTTTAGGGCCGGGCGCGGTGGCTCACACCTGTAATCCCAGCACTTTGGGAGGCTGAGGCGGGTGGATCACGAGGTTAAGAGATCAAGACCATCCTGGCCAACACGGAGAAATAAAAAAATTAGTCGGGCGTGGTGACCGGCGCCTGTAATCCCAGCTACTCGAGAGGCTGAGGCAGAAGAATCGCTTGAACCCAGGAGACGGGGGTTGCAGTGAGCGGAGATCGCGCCATTGCACTCCACTCCGGGTGCGACAGGAGCGAGACTTCGTCTCAAAAAAAAAAAAAAAAAAAAAAAGGATTTAGGAACAGTGCCCTCTGGCTCCCCCTCATGGGAGCAACTGGTAATTGTAGACAGCCCTAGGCCCCCACGACTCTCCTCCCTCCCTAAGCTCCTTTTCTTTCTTTCTTTCTTTTCATTTTATTTTACTTTATTTTTTTGAGACGGAGTCTCGCTCTGTCGCCCAGGCTGGAGTGCAGTGGCTGGATCTCGGCTCACTGCAAGCTCCATCTCCCGAGTTTACGCCATTCTCCTGCCTCAGCCTCCGGAGTAGCTGGGACTGCAGGTGCCCACCACCTCGCCCGGCTAGTTTTTTGTATTTTTTAGTAGAGATGGGGTTTCACCGTGTTAGTCAGGATGGTCTCGATCTCCTGACCTCGTGATCCGCCCGTCTCGGCCTCCCAAAGTGCTGGGATTACAGGCTTGAGCCACCACGCCCGGCCTCCTTTTCTATTTTTTTGGAGACAGGGTGTCGCTCTATGGCCCGGGCAAGAGTGCAGTGGCGCAATCCTAGCTCACTGCAGCCTCGAACTCCTGGGCTCAAGTGATCCTCCTGCCTTAGCCTCCCGAGTAGCTGGGACCACAGGCTCGAGCCACCATGTCCCCGCTCCTAGGCCCCTTTCTCCAAGACTCATGCCCTCACTCTTCTTGATGACCTCACCTGACTTCAGCTGTCCAAGGCTAACGAACAAGAAGAAGGACCTCATGATGCTGCTGGGGCCTTGGGGAGTGAGGGGTGGTCAGACCAGGTACCCCAGGACTCAGGCTGGCCCCACGACTCATGGCATAGTATGTTCAAGGCCTAGATCCCCCAGAAAAGCTGTGGCAGAATCTAGGATGTGTGATCGCGTGAGGTCACGGTCATGTGCCCCAGGTCATGAGTAGGGCCAGTTCATCTTGGGCTCTCTTTACCATGCCCTCACGCCAGTGTCCCTCCAGGTGACAGACCCCAGGTTCCCTCCACACTCCTGCCTCTGGGGACATCACTAGTGAAGCCCTGAGTTCAGGGGATGCTATTCTTCTTACTGCCAACCCCATTCCTGGATCTCCAAGGATGCTCAACATCTCCTAGGCCAGGGTTTGGTTCTACAAACCTCCAGGCTTGGTGTGCCATGGGGCCTAGGGCAGCCCAAGACAGAGTAAGGGCCCGCCCTGCAGAGACATCAGGCTGAAAGTTCCAGATCAACCCAGACTCCAGGCCCACAGGTTGACAGGGGCTGCACCCTCTAGCTACACTTTCTTACCCCCCGCTCTCAAATCAGCTGCATCTGCTGTCTGCCCCAACTGACCCCCTAACACTGATCTCCGGGGGGTCACCACAGCCTTTATTTATATCATTGCACACAAGAGTCTCTTGGGTCTGAATTGCTTGGTCTTCTTCCCCCTGCCCCTCTCCCTGCTGTTCCTGTTTAGTCTTTGTTGGGTTTTTCTTTGCATCACCCTTAAATATGGAAAGTCCCTAGCCAGGGGCAGTGGCTCACACCTGTAATCCCAGCAATCCAGGAGGCTGAGGAGGGAGGATCACTTGAGGCCAGTTTGGGATCAGCCTGGGCAATATAGCGAGACCCCATCTCTTTAAAAAAAAAAAGTCCCATAGTGGGGACTTGGAACCACCCCCCACAAGAGGTCGTCTTAACCCCAGCAGTGTCAGTTCCTGTCTCTGCTGACAAAGCCCTCATTTCTGTTCCCAGCTTCAGCCTCAGACCAGGGTTCCTGCAGCCTCCTGAATGCCACACCCTGGACATCCTCAGGGCCCCTACATCTACCAAGTTCCCCACCAGGCATATCATCTTTCCCAAACCTGCTCCTCCTCCTTGGTCCTATATCAAGGCAGTCCCCACCATCTCCCTGCCCCACCCCACGGCCCCGCAGCTCCATAACCCACTGCCTCAGCTTCCCACAGCTTCCCGAGTGTCTCTATCAACCCACTCCCTTTTCTTGTCCCCCAGCTCAGCTGATCCAACGTTGTCGTCACGCACCCAGGTCCCTGCCCCAGCCTCCCCTGGAGCTCCCAGCTTCAGTCTTCCCCTTGGGTCCACCCTCCTCAGAGCACTAGAAGGATCTTCCTAAAGCCCCAATCTGACCCCATCCCTCCCTTGCATACAACCCTCCATGGCTCCCCAGTACCATCAGGCCACAGTCTGAGCTCCTCAGCCTGGAGGTCCTAGACCCTGCTCAACCCTCCTGCCTCACCTCTACCATAGCACCCCCAGTGCCCAGGGCACACCACCACCTTGCTTGTGCTGTGCCCTCTGCCTGAAAGAGCTTTCCTTCTGCTTTTTGCCCAGTTATCTCCTTCAAATGTCATTCTCAGATCACATGTGTCCTCCTCCAGGAAGCCCTCCCTGACCACACCTGGGGCTGAGCAGGGTACCTCTTCTGGACTGTCACAATCCCCCAGGCTTCCCTCATCCCCACATCCCTGGTCACTCTGGGCTGTCACTGTCTGGGGATGTGTCTGTCTCCCATTTGACTTTAGGCCCCTGCGGGCAGGGCTCAGGCCTGTCTGGATCACCACAGCATTCCCCAACCCAGGGCATGCCCAGAGCGAACACACAGGGAACATCTATTGTCTGAATGGATCGCCATCCTCAGCCTCCCCCAGCGTCCTCAGACTGAACTGGGCAGGGTGGGGTGGGGGATGTCTCTCCCCAAAGGAGGCATTCCCCAGCTCCAGACCCCTGCTCCGTCCCCCAACCCCCATAGACAGAGACGAGGGCAAGGGTCTAGGCCCAAGCTTAGAAAAATAGGACTTTCTTGTTGTGCCCTGTGTCCCCGACACCCTCCCCATCAGAGTTTTAAAAACCATGAGCAATTTGGTGAGTCTGAGGCCAGGTCCCACAGGGTGTCCGGGTCCTGCTGTCCGTGGGGCCAGAGAAGCCTTAGAGGGGGGGCGCCTGGCTAGGGTCCCACAGGTTCGTGGCCGGGCCCCCAGGGCTCGCAGTCCAGCTGGACCACGGTGTGGGCCCTGAGCGCCGCCGGCTCAGGGGCGGGCGGGGCGGGTGTGGGCGGGGGGCCCAGGGCGCCATTGGTCTGGGAGCAAACGCTGCTGACAGGCGCGGGAGTCTTGGCCTTGCCGGGGGGCTGGCCGCCGTGCACCTTGTAGCGCATCAGCAGCACGAAGATGAAGACCAGTACCGAGGCTACGATGACGCCGCCCAGCGCGATGATCATCGTGCCGCCCAGGAAGGGAGCGTGCGGCGCCCCGCATGGCCGCAGCGCGGGTTCGGTGGAGAAGCGGGCGCAGCCCACAGGCCGTGTGGCTGTGAGCCCCGTGGCGCTGTCCTCGTACACGGCGAGCACGCACAGGTCGTAGGCCCGGCCCGACGCCAGGTCCGTCAGCAGGAACGAGCGGCTGTCCGCCGGGATCATCCTGCAGGGCAGGCAAGTGGGGGTCAGGTCTCAGGCTGCCCAGCCCCCATCCTGTGCTTCCCTCACCAAACTCCCCGCGGGGCTAGGCTTCCCACCAGTCTACTGCCTCGTTTCATTCTACCCAGTGAGCTCCCTCTCACCACCACCCCATTTTCCTTTGGTCTGACATCCGATTCAGCCACCTGACTGATATCCCTCCAGTGTTGGCCAATTTCACTCTAGCCCATCCTCTCACATATCCTCATAGCCTGCTGCCCAATTTCGCTCTAGTCCCACCGCCCAGTTTCTTTAACGGCTCACCACATGAGTTCTTCTAATCCATCCTGTTTCTTTTCTTTTTTTCTGTTTTCTTAGAAATAGGGTCTTGCTTTGTTGTCCAAGCTGGAGTGCAGTGGCATGATCATGGCTCACTGCAGCCTCTAACTCCTGGACTCAAGTCATCCTCCTGCCTCAGCCTCCTGAGTAGCTGGAACTACAGGCATGCACTACCATGCCCAGCTAATTTAAAAAAATTTTTTTGTAGAGATGGGTTCTTGCTATATTGCCCAGGCTGGTCTCAAACTCCTGGCCTCAAATTCCTGGCTTCAAAGCAGTCCAGCCTCCTGCCTTGGCCTCCTTAAGTATTGGGATTATAGGCGTGAGCCACCACACCTTGCCAGTTTCATTTTATACCCAACTGCCCAATTTTCCTTTTGCACTGCCCATGCAATTTCCCTCCAGTCTGCAGCCCAGCTCTGCTCTAGCCTCCCTGCCCAATTTTGCCCCAATCCTCTGCCTGATTTCACTCTGGCCCCACTGCCAGTCATCTCTCCAGTTCACCACCCAGTTCTGCTTTAACCCTGTCCAATTTCCCTCTAATTTAATCCTTTTGTCTTCTAGCCACCCCCCATCCAATTTCCCTCCCATTGTACCTCCCAGTCTCCTCCAGACCCTTGCCAATTTCCCTCTGGTTCCCCTATTTCCTGCAGCCTATGCCAAATTTCCCTTTTCCAGCTGCCTGATTTTCCTCTAGTGTACAGCTAGGATTCTCTCCAATCGAACCGCCTGATCTCCCTGTACCCCTACTGACCGATTTCCTTGTAACCTGCCAATAAATGTCCCCCTAGCCCTATTGCCTTATTATTATGACTGTATCAATAGCCTATTTTCCAATGAGTCCTGTCGTCTGATTCCCTTTTCATTAAACTAATGTGCCTCCATCACTGCTGCTTTCTTTTTCTCCCTGTTGCCTTATTTCTTCCCAGCTCTGTCACCTGCTTCTCTTTTATCTCTGTTGGCAGGTTTCTATTTATCTTTTTCTTTGTTGTTTCCATTTAATCCTTACCACCCAATTTCACTATAGTTTCTTTTGTAGCTAGGCACGCTGTTGGAGAGTTGACTTGTCTTGTCACCTGTTTTATTCCTAGGCTATTCTAATGAGAGAGGTACAGGGAACTCCGTGGTTGCCTGGGGCAGGGTGACTGTCTAGGAGAGCATTCATTCCATTCCCCACCTGGCAAGGTGGCCAGGACTTGTGTGACTTTTTCTTTTTTTGAGATGGAGTCTCACTCTGTCACCCAGCCTGGAGTGCAGTGGTGCAGCCTCGGCTCACTGCAACCTCTGCCTCCCAGGTTCAAGCGATTCTCCTGCCTTAGCCTCCTGAGTAGCTGGGACTACAGGCGCATGCCACCATGCTCAGCTAATTTAGTAGAGATGGGGTTTCACTGTGTTAGCCAGGATGGTCTCGAACTCCTGACCCGGTGATCCACCCGCCTCGGCCTCCCAAAGTGCTGGGATTACAGGCGTGAGTCACCGCGCCCGGCCGACCTGTGTGATTTTCAGGGGCAGGGCTTTCATGGAATCTTCCATGTCTGAGAAACGGAGTAGAATGAGCTCAGTGGGTTGCCAGGACTGAAATGGAAATCATGTGGCCTTTTCTTGAGGTGTTGGCCCCAAGGGAGGGAAAGGACATCCAGGTACTAGGTCCCCAAGTATCTGGGTCCCCAGGGCACAGACCTCAGCCCTGGGGAGGTCCAGTCTTTACAGCCAGGCCTTGGGACTGCACCCTTGGCCCAGCCTGGTCGTGAGGACAGGGACTCACCCACAGCCGTAGTCCATCCATGTAAGGTTGAACTTTGGTAAGAGGTGTCAATAGCACCTGGGTCCACAGCCACCACTGCTGACCACGTGTGGTCACCGCAGATGTGCTGAGTGCTCTCCAGCTTGGAGGGACAAGTTGGACTGAGCCACCTCTTGGAGTATGTAAACCCCAGGTTCTGTGTTTGCAACAACAGAAGAGAGAAGAAAATCCCCCCCAAGTGTGGCAAATTGGGTATTTCTGTTTACCTGGCAAAAGGAACTTGAACTAGGTTTGATTTGATTTAGAAAATAAAAAATCTATGCCGGGTGCGGTGGTTCACACCTGTAATCCCAGCACTTTGGGAGGCTGAGGCAGGGATCATCTGAGATCAGGACTTCGAGACCAGCCTGGCCAACATGGTGAAACCCCATCTCTACTAGAAATAAAATGTGAACATTAGCTGGGTGTGGTGGTGCATGCCTGTAATCCCAGCTACTAGGGAGGCTGAGGCACGAGAATTGCTTGAACCCGGGAAGCGGAGGTTGTAGTGAGAGACTGCACCACTGCACTCCAGCCTGGGTGACAAAGTGAGACCCTGTCTCAAAAAAAAATCTGGGCTGGGCGCGGTGGCTCACACCTGTAATCCCAGCACTTTGGGAGGCCGAGGTGGGCGGATCACAAGGTCAGGAGATCGAGACCATCCTGGCTAACACGGTGAAACCCCGTCTCTACTAAAAATACAAAAAAATTAGCTGGGCATGGTGGCGGGCATCTGTAGTCCCAGCTACTTGGGAGGCTGAGGCAGGAGAATGGCGTGAACCCGGGAGGCGGAGCTTGCAGTGAGCCGAGATCACGCCACTGCACTCCAGCCTGGGCGACCAAACAAGACTCCGTCTCAAAAAAAAAAAAAAAAAAAAAAAAGTCTGGATGTCACTATATTAGAACTTGAAACATGGAATAGTTCACACCACACACACCCGAAGCCCAGTCTCTATCGAACCTCCTCCCTGCAATTTTCATTCTAACCTCTGGTCTGATTTCTTTTCTAACAGAGCTGCTTATTTCATTTTTTCTGGGCTCCCTGTGCTTTCCTGTTTGATCTCCTTTTCTTCCTGCAGCCCAGCTAGTATCTAGTCCTGTCATCTGGAAAACCTGGTGTTTCTCTCTTTATCTTTACAACTTAAATTTATTTTTATCCCCTTATCTCCCCCACCCACCCTTGCCCATTAACATTTTATTCTTCTGCCCTGATTACTTTCTCCTCCTGCTGCCTGGTTTCCTTTTTATGTTTGCTACTACTATTTATTCTTGCTGCCTAATTTCTTTTTACCCATGCAGCCTGATTTCTTTTATCCTTATTGCTTGATCTTTTTTAGCCCTGTAGCCTGATTTAACATTTGCTGTCTCATTTACTTCGTCCTTCTTGTCTGACTTCTTTTTATCACTGCTGTCAGATTTCATTGACCCTTTCTGCCAGATTCTTGTTATCCTTGCTGCCTGATTTCTTTTACTTTTGCTGCCTGATTTCTTTTACTTTTGCTGCCTGATTTCTTTTGGAACCTTCCAACACCATTTATCAGTTGTGCTTCAGTGTAGGGTTTTAGTAGGTGTACCCTCAACCCTCCCCCTTGCCTCACTCCCCCACCCAAGCTACCCCAGTGCCTGGACCCTGCACCTGTAGACGAGGATGTCATCAGCTGAGCTGTTGTACTGGATCTGGTACATGCGGATGCCCGGGATAGGCCGCTGATCCGGCCACTGGACGAGAGCAGCTGTGGCCCCGTGCTCAGTCACCTGGACGCCACGGTCGGTAGAGGGCCCAGTGTCGGCCGCCTTGGCAGAGGCAGAGGCAGCGGAGGGTGGGGTGAGAGCATCAGGATCCCCGTCCCGCGGGGGGTCACAGCTGGTGCTGTTGGCTAGCTGAGGAGGCGGTGGGGGGCCCACAGTCAGCTCCACAGCAGCTGTGGCCTCACCAGCTGCATTGGCCGCGATGCAAGTGAAGATGCCACCATCACCCGGCTCGGTGACCAGCAGCTCCAGCGTCCCATTGGGGAAGGCGCGGGCACGGCTCGAGTTGCCCAGCAGCCGGCCCTGGGGTGACACCCAACGCACACGGGGCTCTGGGTCCCCCACTGCCCGGCAGCGCAGGGCAGCTGGCCGACCTGCGGGCACTGCCAGGGGTGGCGAGCGGTGAGTCACCACGGGTGGCTCGCAGACAAACTCCTCCTCGCCCACCGCCCAGAAGTAGCGGCCGCCCAGAGCGGGTGGGGATGCACAGGCCTCGAGGTCATCCTCCCGCGCCAGGCGACGCAGCCACACCAGCTCGCAGTTGCAGTGCAGTGGGTTCCCGCCAAAGGCCAGCACCAGGGCAGAGGCGGGCGAGCCCCGGGGCCTGGCAAGCAGGGGCAGGCGGGAGAAGAGCGGGTCAGGTGGGATTGTGGTCAGGCGGTTGGAGGTCATGTCCAGCCGGGCCAGCTTGTGCAGGCGGGAAAAGGCGCCGGCGGGCACGGAAGCCAGCAGGTTGTGGTCAAGGCCCAATGTGTTGACATTGCCCAGGCGGCCCAGGGCCTCCCAGGGCAGCTGTTCGAGGTTGTTGTAGGAGAGATCGAGGTCCTCCAGCGTCTCGGCACAGTCATCCAGGGCGCTGGCTGCCAGCGCTGCCAGCTGGTTGTTGCTGAGGATGAGGTGGCGCAAGTTGACCAGGCCACGCAGCTGGCCCTCGCCCAGTGAGGTCAGCCGGTTGCCATCCAGGTGCAGCGCACGCAGGGCCCGTAGGTCGGCGAAGGCGCCAGCGGCCACGTGGCGGATGGTATTCCGAGACAGGCTCAGATGCAGCAGGCCCGTCATGTTGGCCAGGTCGCGGCGGCGCACGGAGGCGATGAAGTTGTCTGCCAGGCGCAGTTCGGCTGCCCGACGGTCCAGCGAGGGTGGCACGAACAGGAGGCCCGCCCCTGGGCACAGCACGCTTAGGGGCAGCGATTGTGTCTGGCAGCGGCAGCGGCGGGGACACAGGCTCGGTGTGGCTGACTGGGGTGGAGATGAGGCGGGGGCCAGCGGCAGCAGGCACAGGAGCAACGGGAGGATGGCCATCGCGGGCAGGAGTGTCCTGTGGGGAAGAGGGGAGGCGTGAGGGCAGAAGAGGGGTTCTACAGCAGATGGGGGTGGTCTGAGACCAGGAGAGAAGGTCACAGTGGGCTGAGGGCAGAAGGGCTGGTCAAAGACCGTCAGATGTGACCAAAAGCCAGAGGTGACCAAAAGCCAGAGGAAGGCCAGGCGCAGTAGCTCACACCTGTAATCCCAGCATTTGGGGAGGTTGAGGCAGGAGGATGGCTTGAGGCCAGGAGTTCAAGACCAGCCTGGGCAACAAAGTGAGACCGTGTATCTATTATACAAAAGTTCTCAAAAATTAGCTGGGGTTGGCTGGGAGAGGTGGCTCACGCCTGTAATCCCAGCACTTTGGGAGGCCGAAGTGGGCGGATCACCAGGTCAGGAGATCGAGACCCTCCTGGCTAACACAGTGAAACCCCGTCTGTACTAAAAATACAAAAAAGTAGCCGGGCATGGTGGCAGGCACTTGTAGTCCCAGCTACTTGGGAGGCTGAGGCAGGAGAATGATGTGAACCTGGGAGGCGGAGCTTGCAGTGAGCTGAGATTGCGCCACTGCACTCCAGCCTGGGCGACAGAATGAGACTCTGTCTCAAAAAAAAAAAATAATTAGCTGGGCATAGTGGCGCCCACCTGTAGCCCTAGCTATGTGGGACGCTGAGGTGGGAGGATCAGTTTAAGCCCAAGAGTTTGAGGTTGCAGCGAGCTATGACTGTGCCACCACACTCCAGCCTGGGCAACAGAGCGAGACTCTGTCTCTCCAAAAGAAAAAAGAAAAAAAATGGTCAGAGAAATGACAGCTGGTTTGGGTGAGTGGCAGGAAAACCAGAGGGCTTTAGACATGGTCAGAGATGGTCAAAGCTGGCCATGGGGAGACGGAGCAGCCAGGGTGGCAGGAATGATTAGAAGTGGTCAGATATGACCAGAGAAGAGAAGGGGTTAGAGATGGTCAGGAAGATGAGTGGTGGACAAAGAGAAGGGAGGGCATGGGTTGGGCTCAGATCTGGGGGAGATGACCATGTCAGAGACACGTGGTCAGAAACGGTCCAAAGCCAGCAAGGCGGTCAGAGAGGAGGAAAAGGACAGACGTGGCAGAGTCAGTGGGAGTCCAGGACAGCTGCTCAGGAGGATGGTGCGGGAGAGAGGTCATCGGAGAGAGGAAAGGCAGCAGAGATGTTTGAGATGATCAGAGGGAATCGGCCAGTGAGAGAGAGAGGAGAGGTGGCCAGAGATGGTCAGAGGGCATCAGTGAATGAGAAAGAGAGGAGAGGCGGCCAGAGATGGTCAGAAAGCATCAGCGCTGAGAGTGAGAGAGAGGAGAGGTGGCCAGAGACGATCAGAGGGTATCAGCGAGCGAGAGAGAGGAGAGGTGGCCAGAGATGGTAAGAGGGTTGCAGACTGGGAGTTAGGGTCAGGGGTGGGAAGAGGGCAAGAGCAGTGGGAGAGATGGCTAGAGAAAGGGAAAGGTGGCCAGAGGAAGCTGGAGAGGAGAGATGGACAGAGGCGGCTGGAGAGAAGAGTGGTGGACAGCAATGTCAAAGATGGATGGGGACGGTCACAGACCCAGGCTTAGATTCAGGGGTGGAGAAAGAGCAAGACAGCTGGTGAATGATGATTAGAGAGGCACAGTGGACACAGATGTCAGCAATGGTCACTAAGAAGCAGCAGGCAGAGGCGACTGGAGAGAGGACCTGTGGACAGAGGTGTCACAAAGATGATCAGAGAGAGAAAAGGGGAACAGAGATGGCCATTGAGAGGACAGGTGGAGAAAGGAGACCAGAGAGAGGAGTGGTGGACAAGAGAGGTGGTGGAGATGGTAGGACAGACAGCGAGAGGCTGTAAAGGTTGCAGGGGTCAGAGACCTGGAGGTACCATGAACTAGGGCAGGGGAGGTCAGAGAGGGGCAGGGCTGGCCAGTGTCCAGAGAGTGTTTGGAGCAGAGCAGGAGCTGAAGGCAGACCCACAGGGAAATGTCTTTTTTCTGGAGAAACTCCAAGAGTGCCAAAGGGTGCCTGGTACTGTAACCCGCAGCCACAACACTCCTCCCAGCCCCTCCCCACCTGGAGGTTTCAGCAGCCTTACCTGAGCTAGAAGCTGCCCCAGGGAGCAGAGTTCTAGCTCCAGGGGAGTCAGAGGTCAGGACTCTGGAGGGAGCATCTGGTCATGCCTTTCCTGTCCCCAAGGCTTCTGTAGAGGGACTGTGTCCTGACTAGGCTCAAATCTGTGGCAACGGAGTCTCCAGACTTTAATACTCAGGGTCCCAGACCCCAAAATATCGGGCCTCTGGGGTCCAGTTTTAGGGGTCCAGTTTGGGTTGTTCAGGGTCAGGGTCTCCCAGGTCCAGTCTTGGGATGCTAAGCAGCCAAACGGTGGGGTTTAGAGTCCGAGATCCGACCCCGGGGTGGTGCATTCAGATATTGGGGTGCTGAGTCAAGATTAGGAGGTCTCAAGTCCCAGATTTCAGCATTCAGGTCTGCAGCAAGGACTTCAGGCCCAAACTCGGGTTCAGGCCCCTTGGAATCCCACAGTCCAGATCTTGGAATTTGAGGCCTGAATCCCAGGGTTCAGGTCCCCAAGAGTGGGTTCCAGGGTACAGTACTGGAAATCCAGCCCCAGATTTCAAGGTCCCAGGCACAGAATTGAGAGTTCAGCTCCAGGCTTGAGGTTTTATATGTCAAATATTGGGGTTCTGCGCCAAATATTGGGGTCTGGGTTCCAAATTGTGGGGTTCCGGCTCCAAATGTTGAGGTCCCAGTGACCGATGTTGAGATTCCAGCTCCATATATTGGGGTTCAGGCTCCAGATCTTGGGGTTCCACGGCCGGATCTGGGGGTGCTGGTCCCAGATCAGGGTTCCAGGCTCGGGTTTCCGGAACTCCCGGTTCAATCTCGGGGTGCAGGCCCCCGAGGTGGAGGTTAGGGCGCGGGGTCCGGGGCGGCAGCGTCCCGGCTGGCTTCCTGGGCTGCGGCGGAGGCTGACTCGGAGGGAGGGGACCGCCTGCGGTGGGGAGGGGGTCGACCGGGCAGCCCCAGGGCCGGGTGGGGCGAGGCCTGGGAGCGGAGGGACGGACAGACAGACTGGGACACGCGGGATGGAGGCACCGCAGCGCAGGCAGGGGCGCAGGGGGGAGGGGCCGCGCTCAGAGACCCCTCCCCCGCCAGGGCCGGGGCGGGGGCCGGACGGGGGCCGGGCTGGAGGGCCGGGTCCGGGCGCTCCCGCGGCCTCCTCGCCGGGAACCCAGGGCCGCGCGCGCACCCGCGCTTAAAGGCGCAGGCTCCGCGCGCACCCGCGCTTAAAGGCGTAGGCACCCGCCCCTTCTCTCAAAGACGCACCCCGGCCCCACCTCCCATGGAGTCGCCCTGGCGCTGCTGGGAACGAGAATCCCTGGATATGGAGAGACTGTGAGACAGAGAGACAGAGAAGAACAGAGATACAGAGAGGCAGACAAAAAGATGGGCAGGCTTAGATTGATGGACAGAGAGGAGTAACTGGAAAGAGGCAGAGGGAGAGATTGAAACACACATATTCGAGACATGGAAATGCACAGAGACAGCGAGACACAGAGAGAGATGGAGTGACAAGAGATAAGGACAAGTCAGAGAAAGAAACAGATAGAGACGTGCGTGCGCGCGCACACACAGACACACACACACACACACTCACACGCTCTAAGACGCAGCACCTGGGCTGTAAGAATGGTATGTGTGTATGTGCATTCAGTAACCATTCATAGCCTTGAGTGTAGCGCTTCATTCCAGAGCCACTGGCCCCCCAGACCTGTTTCTTTCTGCCCCCCTATCTCAGCACCACCTCCCTGGAATGTCCTTTCCACGGGTGGAGTTTCCTTACCTGCCCATGCCCAGCAACAGGCTTGATCTTTCAGGCCAGAGGGGCTCCTTCCCAAGGCTCCTTTCTCTGGCTGCAAGAGGGAAAACTTGTGCGATCTGGGATTAGAGAAAGACCTCAAGACACACTGACAGCCGGGCGCGGTGGCTCACGCCTGTAATCCTGGCTCTTTGGGAGGCCGAGGTGGGCAGATCACTTGAGGTCAGGCGTTGGAGACCAGCCTGGCCAACATGGAGAAACCCTGTCTCTACTAAAAATACAAAAATTAGCCTGATGTGGTGGCGGCACCTGTAATCCCAGCTACTTGGGAGGCTGAGGCAGGAGAATCGCTCCAACCCGGGAGGTGGAGATTATAGTGATCCAAGATCACGCCACTGCACTCCAGCCTGGGGGACAGAGCGAGGCTCTGTCTCTAAATAAATAAATAAAATAAAAATAAAAATAATAATTACCTGGGCGTGGTGTCACATGCCTGTAATCTCAGCTACTCAGGAGCCTGAGGCAAGAGAATTGCTGGAACCTGAGAGGCACAGGTTGCAGTGAGCCGGGATCACACCGCTGCACTCCAGCATGGGCAACAGAGTGAGACTCTGTCTCAAAAAGAAAAGAAAAGAAAGACACATTGACCAAATATGCTCGAGATGGGGGAGAAGATAGGAAATGGGGTAGAGACGGGGGCTGGCCAGATTGACCCTATAATGTGTCTACTGTCTTCCTCTCCCCTTCCCACTCAGGTTCACCGCCCCACAGAAGACCCTGGATGGAACTGACTCTGCAGGAATGGGGTCTGCCTGTCCTGATGCTTGGGAGAGAACGGAGGAGGGAAGGCTGGGTTCGGGTCACAGGCTCTCCTGGCAGATGTGTCACAGAAAGCTGGCTGTGAGTGACCATCTACAAGCCTGGCCTGGGAACTTGGTTATAGCAACATGGGGGACATGATATTTTAGGAACCTGATCCAAAGGGGACATGACCTTGGCCTGGGTGGTCTGAAGGGGACGTGGCCTTACTCTGGGGAACCTGAGTGGTCCTGGAAGCCACCCCAGGATCTCCCATCTGAATGGAGGAGTAAAGTGACCTTGGGAGGAGTTTATGGGTCCTTCTACCCTGGCAGCTCTGCTGAAGGTTTCAGAATAGGCTCTTGACTCCTTTCACTTATATATTGAAAAATTGGAGCTAAAATTAACTCAGCCCCAGGGCCCGCCTTTCCAGATCATTAGCAAAGTTCATCAGTGCTCCTGGCCAAGCACAGCGGCTACTGGTCACTCAGACACTCAGAAAAAGGATGCAGAAGCTTCAGGGCTGCTACAGAGGTGGCGGAGACAGAGGGAAAGACATAGAGTTAAACCCAAGAGCAGGACTGGGATTAGAATTCAGTGGGATTAGAATTCAGGCACGGTGGCTCACGCCTGTAATCCCAGCACTTTGGGAGGCCGAGGTGGGCAGATCACCCAAGGTCAGGAGTTCGAGACCAGCCTGGCTAACATGGTAAAACCTTGTTTCTACTAAAAATACAAAAATGCAAAAAAAAAAAAAAAAAAAAAAAAAAATTAGCCAGGCGTGGTGGCAGGTGCCTGTAATCCCAGCTACTTGGGAGGCTGAGGCAGGAGAATCACTTGAACCTGGGAGGCGGAGGTTTCAGTGAGCTGAGATTGCGCCATTGCACTCCAGCTTGGGCAACAAGAGTGAAACTCCATCTCAAAAAAAAAAAAAAAAGAATTCAGTAGAACTGATTGATTTGGGGGGTGATCCTGGGAAACAGGGGCAAGGGAGAGGGAAGAGGGAAGCAGAGGAGACAGACAGCTAACAGAGGACACACTGATGAGGAATGGGTCACTTCCCTGGGCAACTGGGGCTCAGTTGTGCTGGTGAACTTGAAGGAATCTTCTGGAACACATTAGAATTGTTCCCCTACTCTCCCAGCAAGTTCAGAGAGACGGAAGCATTTATCCTTCAATTCTTAACCCCCTTGGGGGATGGTTATCCCTGTGGGAGGAGGCAGTGGTACTGAGAGCCATCTGGGGTTTTTTTGTTTGTTTTTTGAGATAGGGTCTGGCTCTGTAGCCCAGGCTGGAATGCAGTGGTGTGATCACAGCTCACTGCAACTCAAGCAATCCTCCTGCCTCAGCCTCCTGAGTCGCCAGGACCACAGAAGGGTGTGCCACCATGCCCAGCCAATATTTTGATTTTCTGTAGAGATGAGGCCTCCCTATGTTGCCAAGGCTGGTCTCGAACTCCTGGGTTCAAGTGATCCTCCCCACTTGGCCTCCCAAAGTGCTGGAATTCCAGGCATGAGCCCCCACACCCACATGAGAGCCATCTGAAATCTGAGGTAGAAAAGCAGAGAGGGGCCAAGCATAGTGGCTCACATCTGTAATCCCAGCACTTTGGGAGGCCAAGGCAGGTGGATCACTTGACATCAGAAGTTCAAGACCAGCCTGGCCAACATGGTGAAACCCTGTCTCTACTAAAAAAATACAAAAATTAGCTGGGCCTGGTGGCGGGCACCTGTAATCCCAGCTACTCAGGAGGCTGAGGCAGGAGAATCACTTGAACCTGGGAGACAGAGGTTACAGTGAGCTGAGACTGAACCACTGCACTCCAGCCTGGGTGACAGAGTGAGACTCTGTCAAAAAAAAAAAAGAAAAGAAAGAAAAGCAGAGAGGGATGCCTTGCCTTGCAGGAGCTAGGCCAGGTGTCCTTGCAGTGCAGCCCACCAGGATCACCTGGGGGCACCATAGATCTCCAGGTCCCAACCTCAGAGTTTCTGGTTCAGTGGGTCTGAGGTGGGACCCAAGCATTTGCATTTTTAACAAGTGATGCCAATGTGACATTTCAAAGACCACACTGTTTTTTTTTGAGACAGGGTCTTGCTTTGTCACCCAGGCTGGAGTATATTGGTGCAATCATAACTGACTGCAACCTCAAATTCCTGGACTCAAGCAATCCTCCCATCTCAGGCTCCAGAGTAACTGGGACTACAGGCATGCGTCACCACATCCAGCTAATTTTAAAAATTTCTTATAGAGACAAGGTCTCAATATACTGCCCAGGCTGGTTTGAACTCTTTGCCTCAGGCAGTCCTCCCTCCCCGGCCTCCCAAAGTGTTGTGATTACAGGCGTGAGCTACTATACCTAGTCAGGGACCACATTTTGAGAACAGCTGGGCTAAACCAGGGCTATCTGCACTGCACATGGGACTGTCTACCACAACAGCTATGCTAAAACCTGGTGGGTTGAAGGGATATAGCACCCCACATGTGTACCGAAGAGACAAACGTATTTAGAGACATAAAGAGGAATTCAGTCTACAAGGGACTTAAACAATGCAACAAGCAAAAAACAAATAACCCTACTTTATTATTATTAGTTATTTATCTATTTATTTATTTTTTGAGACGGAGTTTCACTCTGTTGCCCAGGCTGGAGTGCAGTGGCGTGATCTTGGCTTACTGCAAGCTCCGCCTCCCGGGTTCATGCCATTCTCCGGCCTCAGCCTCCCAAGTTCCTGGAACTACAGGCCCCCACCACCATGCCTGGCTAATTTTTTTTTTTTTTGGATTTTTATTAGAGACGGGGTTTTACCGTGTTAGCCAGGATGGTCTCGATCTCCTGACCTCGTGATCCGCCTGCCTCGGCCTCCCAAAGTGCTGGGATTACAGGCGTAAG